GAGAGAGAGAGAGAGAGAGAGAGAGAGTGAGTGTGTACTCTATAATTAATACTCTATAATTAAATTCTCTGTATGCATTGGGAGAATGAGCATATGGATGACTGTCAAAAATGCACACTGAGACAAAGACGTGACGCTCATCTCCCAACACCCTTTAGACACAGGGCTGCTCCCACCTCCTGAAGGCCCCCGGCCCGGCTTTGAAGGCCCACAGCTTTGCATATAGGAGCTAAAAATCCTCATATGTCCTGAAGGTTTCTGCAAAGATTCATATGAATATGAATATCTTTACTAATCTGGGGGATTAGCTGCTGCATTGTCAAACAATGTCTTTAGACTCCCAAAATCACCCTTTGACAGACTTCTTTGCTTTTTAGTGTCATTTAGCTCCTTATTTATGGGTGCCCTCGTTTTCCTCTTCCACATTTGACGTTTGAATTATGAGTAATGCATGCTAAAACGTGATTTTCCTCCAAACCTAACAAGGTAGATGTAGTGGCTTTTAGTATGTGGGGTTTTTGTTTAATCGATTAATTATTTGACATTTTATGTTAATTTTATGATTTTTTTCTTTATTTAGTTCAAAAGCCCGAAAAATGTATTTCTTATCTAGGCATTTCAGCTTTGATCATCAGAAGGATGATTTCTTGACATATCCTTTAATTAAGACAGTCCATGTTTCATCTCTGACTGTGTTTCATTATTCTCTACATGTTAATTGCATGTTCAGTGTTCATGATCAGGGCTTACTTATTTACAAATTCTTGTTTATGAGTTATACTAGAAGAAAATTAATAAAATGAACTCACAGTCATGAATTATTATCACCACCTCCCTATTCATAATGTACAAAAGTATAATATCTCCCTGCCTTTTATCTGAACACCTTAAAAACTCCTGGCTTTTTTATTTTGATGTCAGGAACAGCACAATTTCAGATTGTTGGTTTAATGCTATTCTCTGAATGCCACTCAGTGGAATATCCAGTATCCAATATCCAAGTAAATTCTGCCACAAAGGAGGGGCTGTATGTTTTACAATGATAATTCATAATTATATGCAAACTCCCCAGGGGACATTTCCCCCGTTAGAAATTAAAACATCTCCAGTGAGTGTTTACTTGTCCAAAAAGGGTGCGAGTGCCTTCCAGGTATTTAAGCTGAGCAGAGTTCTTCAGCTTACTCCCCTTTCACAACTTCGCTCAGCTCATAAAGCACCATTCATTTGCATTTCCGTTCGCGAGAAAAAACGAAGTGGTTTTTGCACTAATTACAGTCTCCAGGTTTGAGTGTGCACATTACAATATTAGAATATATTCTTTAAAGAGAAATATGAGCACTCATATTCATCACCATCAAGGCAAACTGGCAACAGCCCCACAGGCTGACGCTTTTAGGTTCCTAAGACCTCCTCTGTGTCAGATGTAAGGAGTTGATCGAATTTTTGTAATAAGTTGTGGCCCAACTGACAGTTGACTGCAGTTCAACAAAAGAGCAATCTCTACTTGAATGGTTACATCTGAATTGTTTTTAAAGAACATATGAAATAATACTGTCAGCTGTTTGAGGAGAAAATACAGACATTCTTTTGTCTTCTGTCCGTCCTATTGTACAATCTTTTTTTTAATGCTAATGTGTTACCAGGAAACTAACATGTTCGAAACAAACAGTAGCACTGAGAGTAAACTCAACTATAAAATAATTAACTGTAATTCAGATGTCTTTTTACCACTATGTTTGATCAATCCTAAAAGCAACAATTTTCTGCAGCATTAATCTTTTGTCTTATTTGTAACATCACTGCTTTTTACTGTTGTATGTTCTTTAGAGATTTCCAATCACCATTTTCTCATCGCTATCTGATAATGTCTCTGATTTGAGAAGGCTGCACTAATAAGGGTCATTTTGTGTGAAGAAGAATAAATGGTTAATGGACTGGTCCGCATATACTGCTTTTCTACTCTAGCATTCAAAGTGCTTTTCATTCACCCAATTTTTTCTATGTCAAAGTGTTTTCTCTCGCAGATTCAAACTCCAGGAGCATCAGGAGCAACTCGGGGTTCATTATCTTGCCTAAGGACACTTTGGGTTAGTCAGGGATCAAACCAATAACTTTACAACTAGTAGATGCCCTGCTTCACATGCTGAGCCAAACCTCCTTTGAGTAGGATAGAAAGTTAATAACTTTCTCTTAATTGCTGTGATACCTGTTATCTCCAACTGGAGTTTTAGGTTTTTTCAAGCCAGCTAATGCAAAGAAAGCTTGGCATAGTTGAACTTCATTTGCACAATATCCCTTAGATGCTTATATCTGTTTGTTTATTTATTTATTTAGTAGCTAAGTTATTTAGTAGAGACCCACTTTACACTGCACACAAAACATGTGTGTTATAAACATTAATTAAAATGATTACAAAATAAAAACACTGAATTTCTTAGGTGACAAATTTTTCATTAGTTTTATAATTTCATTTTTGTTTTTTAAGAACTTACACTAGCCAGAGTGCTACAGTGCTGTCAGACTGTTGTCATGACAGGACATGGAATATAACTTTTAATAAAATTTAAACACTTTATTGAAGTAAAGTTTTAGTGAAGTGCTATTTTACTGTATTTCTGTGATATGATAACATTGCACAGTTGCTGCAGATTTGTTGGCGACACTTTTAAGATGTGAATGTCCTGTTCCATTACATCCCAAATGTCTGTTTGTTCTGACTGTGGTCATAAATGGATGGCTACGGTCGGAAAGAACACTCGGATATGCTGTGGCATTTAAACAATGCTTACTGGGTACTAAAGGCAATGGAAATAGCCAAAAAATATCAACCATGCCATGCCAAAAGACCATCACCAGCGCTGAATATTGCAGTACAATTTAAGACTCGTCATGGCAGGCAGCATTTTTTTCCAATCTTCTGTTAACCAATTTTAGCGAGTCCTTACAAACTGTTGCCTCACTTTTTGTTCTCAGCTGGCATGTGTGGCACCTGGTGTAGTCTTCTGCTGCTGTAGCCCATCTGCTTCAAGGTTTACTGTTGTGTGTGTTCAGAGATACTCTTCTGCATAACAAGTGGTTATTTGAGTTGTCTGACAATTCTCCTCTGATGTCTGACATTAAAAGTGGCATTTTTGCTCAAAGAACTGCTTTCTCATTGAATATCTGCTATTTCTTCACACTGTTCAATAGTTGCGCAGGAAATTCACCGCAGATCAGAACTTTCTGAAATGCTAAGAGTAGGCTCCTTCAACCATATCAGCTTTAGCGTCACTTAAATCACCATTCCCGTCCATTCTAATGGTCAATTTTAACCTCAACAGGTCATCTTGATCTTGCCATGTGATTGGCTGATTAGATATTTACTTTAACAAACAGTAGAACAAGTATCTAATGAAGTGGCCAGTGAGCTTAGTGTTACACAACATTTATTTTCTAAGATTATTCTTACTTATTATTATCCACATTTAAAAATATCAGTCTTCTTAATATAAGTTATAAGAGATAAATGTCTTTGCCAACTGTTGTTGTTGTTTGGCACTGTACAGATAAATTCTAAATGAATTAAAAGTTATCCCATGTATAAGTAATTTAACAACATTATAGCTATGAGTAAATAAATAAATAAATAAATAATTTATAAATAATAGATAAATATGTGATTCTGAAAAGGCTGAATCTGCCTAATGATTATTTTTACTTTGGGTACTTTTAAGTATATTTTCATGCTGATACACTGACGTTTGTATTGTTAATTACGTGGAAGTTGGGAGCTGAAACTATTAATTATTCTTTTTGCAAATGTGTGTCAGGTAATGAGTTCAGTAAAACACATTAATAAATAGAAATGGTAGAGGAGCGTGTGAATAATAAAAACATTAAAGAAAATAGTTCCCACACTTGAAAAGAAGATAAATGGGTTTCAGTGTTCCCTTATCAGGCTTTTAATGTGATCGGAAAATAAGTCAGCTAAACATCCCCTTTAATTGTTCTCACATGCGAAAAAAATGCCTTGTGTCATCATTAATCGTAATTTTCCCGCTGCATTCACGAGAGGGGGGAGGGAGGACCAGGAGAAAGCATGGTGTGCAAGGGAGGGAGGGAGGGAGTCCAGAAAGCCGAGGGGGAGGGATTTGAGCTAGAAAGTCAGAATAGTGCGATTCTCCAAGCTCCTTTGCGCACTTTCGAAGGACTACGCACCCGCTTCCCGCCGGCTTCAACGCAACGCCGCGTCTCGCTAACGATGTTGTGAATGAGAGGATGAGTGACGTCAGCGGGCGAATGTCAACAATGTAGCGACTGAGAGTAGGCGTTCCAGTCGAGTGTAACAAACAGCAGAGAAGGAGCGGCACGCCGTGCAGGATCAACACGCACACACACGCGCGCGCACACGTACACAACAAATCGTAAAATCACAGACACTGTAGCGTGTGTGTCTGTCTGTGTGTGTGTTTTAAATAAACATTCTTGTAAGTGACAAAGAACCGAGTTGCGGCAGCGAGAGAAGTCATCCATCTGCAATCAGGAGGGTTTGAGGAAACGGCAAACCGAGTCATCATGTGAAAGAACTTGTGGGAAACGGACAAAAGGGCTGGAGTACGAGCAGAATAGGACGGAAAAGGTGAGCTGGCGTGCACGTCTTTTTCCTCTCTGACCGCTCTCTCTCTCTCGCGCGCTCTCTCTCTCTCCTTTTCTCGCTCTCTAGCTGTTCTTTTTGTTAGCTTTCAATCTCGGTCTATTGTTGATGCTCTCATAACCGAGACGCAAACTTGCATAAGTGACGCAGTGGTAGTGGGCTACTACCAACAGAGCCCCCTGCTGAGATGCATAAAAAAATCGACTTTATAGGGGAAAAAAGCAGAACCGCACGCATGAATCTTGAAAGCCTGGCGCGTGGTACGAATATTGAAGCCTGTAATGTGATGGGGTGTGAACGCGGGTTCAGGAGTGAAACACAACTCTGTACCGCATCCTGTTATGCTTTGAGTCACCGTTCTCTGTGTGCTCCTCTGTACTGTTGTTTTTTTGTTGTTGTTGTTTTTTTTTTATCCAATATGGTAAAGTAGTCGGTGGTGATCTGTCAGGATGAGCTGCCACATGCAGAGTCATTAAACACCTTCCTCGTTCAATACGTGTGCATCTAGTTCATGTGGAGCTCATTAGAACTGTTACTACCGCTATTCCAGTTTATTTCACTCTGTGTGAAATCATTGTATTACTGTAGGGTCTTTACCTTAAAATATAAAGCCCATTGGGCGTTGTGATTTGATTTATATAAATAAAAATAAGCACACCTTATCATTAATCCACATTATAACAGCCAATCCCTCGTTTGACGTTAAACCCACATTTCATTATTATATATATATTTCTTAGTCTGCCATCATATTCGAGAATATAAAATAGGCATTTTTAAATCAAACTGCACCCTTGTGCGCGGAGCTGCATTGTCATGTGAGGAGATGCTGCAATCGCGTCTTAGTCAACCTTGAGTCAGTAATGTGCTGAGATGCACCTCAGTCGATAAAAAGGGGCATTTTTAAGGTGACTCTTTAAAAAAATGTGATCGTGGATAATATATATATAAACAGTGTAGTCTCACGTGCTGCCATGCATTACGACCTTTAAAAGATTTATGAGAATGTGCTTCGTTTGTGTTTACAGTAAGATTAGTTGGCTTCATATCGGCGGCTGCAGGCACTCGCGTTTGCATTGTTTCCCTCTGTCGTTAAAGAGACGCGTGTGTGCAGACTGTGCAGGCAGGCAGGGCTTTTTCTTAATAGTGTTTGTTTCGTCATGACTATTGTTTGATGGCCATGTGTTTGCCTCGGCAGCGGAGGGGCCTGGAATCATAAGCGAGCGGAGTGATGCTGCTATAAATGCGGTGATGCAGCATTTCGAGGAAGCATACCATCCTCTTTGTCTGATAGTGCTGATGCAAAGCAAACGGCGGAACGATCGCAGCATCATGGATGGATCCTCCATCATCATGATCAAGAACCTTTGTCATGATGCGTCGCGCATTCTTTTGAAACACCCGAAACGCCTTGACTCCACGCAGCCGCCACAGGGATGGGTTTAAGCTGTGCCGAGAGCAGGTGCATGGGTAATAGGAGCTAATAGGATCTCACTGGTGGTGTAAAGGCAGCTGACGTGAACTCACATTTTCACAGACAACGCGCTGCTTTGGCGACGCGTGCACGGCAGTGGCACTCATGCGCAGTTTTACGCACGGAACCCTTTGTTCTCTACAGTAGCCCCCTGCCTTTCTTTTCCCAGGCATGGCAGTCCTCTGTGTACTGTGAGGAGGGGAGGGGGTGGAGTCCATACTGTAAACCTCACAGTGACTTTGTCAGCTTACGTCAAGCTTTGGTTTCTTTGCTCATTAGTATAAACAAGACACGCAAATCGCATAAAAATAATACTTTCATAATTGCGTGTCACATTTTATTGTAAGCACGATCAGTTTAATAGATCACCAGTGAGAAATCTCTTTATTACATCACTCAACAATCATTAACAGCAAGAAGATTTTCAGTTCCAGTTGGTCTGTTCTCTGACCAGCGTTTAGTCTCGTGTTCTTACCATGTGGAATGATATGTGTAAACCAGTGACTCTGCATTCAGAAAACACTACAGACTTTATAAGAACCAAAGAATTCAAGATCCTTGAATGAAATCTAGAGGAAAATTTCACAACAGCAGAGATGGTGAAATAGCTTTTTAAAACCTTATGATGGGGCAGGGTTTGCAAAGTTTTAAAGCCAATATTATTATTATTATTATTATTATTATTATTATTATTATTATTATTATTAATAATTATATTCAGCTTGTGATTCTATATTTGTAGTTTTTAAGTCCCAAAAAACAACTTACATTTAAGTAATGATTCATGGTAACTGCCCAGACGAGTTTTACCACAGCTAATAAGTTGCACTGCATAAGCATCAATTTATTTGCAATATATACAAATATACTTACACTAGGTGTCCGTAACAGATCAGAGCAGTAATACAGTCACAATAGACCTGGAAGATTACAATAATGCTTATCAATTATCTGCAACCTTACAAAACCCAACAATAATGAGTGCAATGAAAAACTACCATATCTTGTTTGTTTCTTTATTAAACTCTCTTCTAACTTTGGCAGCATCAATACACAAAATTTGAATTGTCTTGTCACACTGTAATTCCCACAGACAACAGTAAAACAGGAATATTGAATTGTTGCACAGTTATTGCATCACATTTTGAATTTCCCTCTCTCTTCTGCCTCCTTAATTACCCCAAAAACCTGCAGCTTGAAAGTAAACCAGTGCACAGGCTGTAGCTTGTAACCGCAAGCCTTGTTTCTACCTATTTTAATGTGCAAGTAATATATAAAATCCATCCATCTTCTTCTGTTTATTCAGGGTTGCTATTATATGATATAATACATCTGTAATAGGAACAAAAAGTACAAACTAGTCATATGTTCAGTAATATGTTTTCTGTAATGTGATGAGATGTAATTTATGATCAATTGTTACTTGTTTTATTGTATTCCTTGTTTCCATCAAATTTTGTATTCAATCCAAAAGGACTGAAAAGAGTCTGTAGAATAAATAGTGGCTAGATGGGGGCTAATGTCATCACAATGCAGTACTTCTTAATTGTTCAGAGAGTGTGATTAAGAGCTGAAAGAACATTGTGAGGACAATGACATCACTGATGATACCTAAACCTAAACCTAATTCTGTGTTTGAGCCCAAAAAAGGAGACACACTTGTGTACAGCCTCTTTAAAAAGTCAACAGCATACAGCCTGATGTTGATAATGCTACATGACATGTAGGTAGATTTCTGACTCACTGAAAAGTTGTGTTCCAGGTATTTCCCACTACTGACAGTGCACAACTACAGTACAGTGTGTAGATGTGGGTTAGTAAAAGCTCTGCATATTACCTATGGACAGTCAGCTCACTACAATGGCAGGCGCTTTGAGGTTAGGATTAGGAATATTCAGATGTCAAAGGGTAAATAGTTTATTTAAATATTAAGATCCCTTCCTTTCCATGGCACTAAATAGGAAATAGGAAATAAATAATAACAAAAACAAATACAAAGGAAACAGAAGGACATTGGTATCATGATGTTAAACCATTGTAAATGTTTAATTGAATAGTTGAATTAGTTTGCCATAACCCCCAAATGGCTAGATTTTTGCATTTTTGTGCTTTGCTTAAAGCTTCCAGATTTATTTTGGACTTTTAAATACTTTCTATTTTTTTTTTTTTATCTCTATGTGCATCCAAATGAAGAATGAAGAAGGTCCTTCTGAAAATCCGTTTAAAAACACATAGGACCATCTCACTGGTATTATATCAGAACATCTCACTGTGAACAATGCTGTTCTGGGGATCTGCTTGAGTCCCTCAGGATTGTCTTCGACAGCTAAAATTCCGAATAACAACAAGTTCCTGTCATGTGACGATGAAGGGATCCTGAAGACTAAAACATCCAGGGCTAGCTCCTCATTGTTTCTGCTGAGCCACATGTAATCATCCTGCTATTCAGCTAATTAAAAAAAGACTGGAAATAAATGACTGGAGAAGGTGCTTGTGTTCCAAATGAACCAAGTACTGGTGGGTTATTGATTCATGAAATTTCAGCTGGAGTAGGACAACATGAAGTGATCAAATTCACAATATCAGCAGCCTTTTAAGGTCGGTTATTTCTGATTTATGTGAAGAAAAAAGCAGATAGTGTATGCAGCAGGTCCCATCTCTCCTCTCTTCGCATCTTTAAAGGCTTCTTTGCATCACTAAGGGTATCTGAGTACCCCTGATCGGCTCAGTTGAATATCCCAAGTCACTGCCTTGGCTAGGAAAAAAAAAAGATGTTGCTATTGCACTCTCAAAGGCAGGTGATTGGGCATCTGCCAGTGATGGCATAGCTGGAGTAGCACTGCTTGGAGAAATCTCAGATTCTGTACATTACAGCAAAAGCTATTGTTTTCCTTCTCCTTTTCTCCCTGTTGATCCCTTCTTTCCCCGTGTCATGTCAGGGCTGCTCATTCTTCTTCTCTTTTCCCACTTTTCTCAGCAGCGATGTGCACTGGTGTTCTCATCGCTTGTGTGAAATCAGATTGCATTATACACCCAGCCCCAGCTGCCATCAGTCTGCGGCTGCAGAGTCAGAGCCTGTCTGTGTGTGTTTGACTCTTGCCAAGAAGCTAGCAAAACCAAACCACCACAGTCAAATTTCCGATTGTTTTGGTTTGTGTTTGTGCCTTTGTGTGCCTGTTAGAAACGATGGAGACATGTAAATGACCCACCTATTTGATGACCTCTTCCCTGAGTGGAGGACTTCACCTTCTGAGATCTCAATGAAAACTCAATTCAGTGAAGGGAAAGGAGGGAGGTTTGGTGTTTAGAAGAATGTAAAGTGGCATTCAGTAAACAAAAAGAAATCATTTAGCGTAACCTGTTTATATTAGATTATTGCAGCACTGTTACTGTTGGCACAGTTGACTCATCAGAATGAGGCTGAAAGCTGCTTTAGAGAAAACCTTGAAGTGCTCTGAACAAGGGAGGAAACTTAGCCTCAGTGTAGTAAAATGGTTCTAATATAGTAAAG